TTTATGCCATGGAGACACATAATTTTCTGGATCCTGCTACACTTATGGAAGGTGCTGCCAGCTCTGTCTGTTTAACATATTTGCTGGTGGAAAGAGCCCTATTCCCAACCCCTAAGAATCTACCTCATAAACACTGCCTTATTCCCCTTGGTACCTCAGACCATTAATAAAAAATATGGAAGTCCCAGTCTCAAGAGCAGTTGGAGAGAAGGAGTGACAAGCAGTACTTACTTACTTCACAGTAATAGCTGTATCTGGAGGATGTTTGTCAGCATCACCTTACCCACATGTGCTAAACCAGGATAAGTGCCCTTGTCTGCAAGACTGGACATGAATCTTTTGCCCACTCCCTTTCTAAGTGTCTGTCTGTAGGATATTAAAAACAGACTGTGATATGCATCCAACAGGCTCCAGTTACAACTGACTGATCTGGTAGCATTTACCTGGAATATTTTTTTAAAAGGCATATTTTTCTAAGTCTTTCACTGCATCAAGTTTTGTGGGTATTGGATATCTGAATGTCACCAAATGGCTAATGAATTACCATTCTGTCATTTATTTCTGACTACTTTTACCAATAAACAGGGAAAATAGTATTCCAGCCCTAAATTACAACTAGTTGAACACAGAAACACCCTGCACACAAAAGCAAGTAATCTACTCCCCTAGAAGCTAACAGAGCCACTCTCCTGTTGCAGGCCATAGCAGGGGGTCCTGGGCCTGGATGGATGCAACCACAGTGGCAGTCATGGGAGGGAGGGTGAGGGTTGCTAGACAACAGCACTGTCTCTCCCTGCAAAAATGAATGGCAGTCATGATGCTGAGCCATCCACAGGAAGCCACAACTCCGCTACCCACCAGCAAATCCCTTCCTGCCCCAAACAGCTTACAGTCAAGGTGTTGGGCAGAGCAGAAAATGGCTGACACAAAATTGTCTGATTTAAAAAATAACGTGAGGTAAGGGGGTGTATGTCTCGCTGTCTGCTATTTCTAAAAATGGTTTTAATGATATTACAAAATAATGTGTATGGATACAGGAGTGAAACGGAACATTTGTATTCTATTACGTATTTTACCGAGAGGCTTACTTTCTTTGGAGATACAACTTGTGCCTCTTACAATTTCTGGGCAGGACGGATCTTACGGTGTTTTTAAAAAGAAGTAGAGGTGTTAACCTTTATATCCCAGCCAAAATCTTCACAATTTAATTTTCCCAAGTGCTCCCAAAGTTCTAGTTACACCTTCATCCCCACTTCCTGCCTGAAACTGGTGTTGTGAGCCACTTAAAACCTCCATCATATGCCAGCTTGGAGGCATTTCAGCTGTCATCTAGGTGATTGTTCTATTCTAATGGTATAGTTTGGAAAGCACTTTAGGTCTCACGGAATGAAAAGTGCCTTAGAAAATAAAGGTTTTATTTGTTTCTTCACTATGATGTCTTGAGAATTAGTTGCAAGTGAAATAGAAGCTTGAAAAAGACTGCATTCTATTGCCACAATGCCAATAAAATAACTTTATTAGGGGGTTAATAACATTCCTCCCTGCTAACGTTCCCTCACATCGATGCAGAACCGTCTCAAGTTAGCTTCCAAACTACGCCTAGCAGAACAGAATCACTGTTCCATAAACTGTATTACAGCATCCAGAATCAGCCTCTACGGCTTTGGGGGGTGGGGGGGGAGTCCCCCGCTCCCGCGCAGTTATTCGGCTCGGCCGCGACTCGTGGGCCGGGCGTTGTGCATCTCCTTTGGTTTCAAAACAAACAAACGTGAGAGGCTGTGAAAGTTTGGAGCAGTGACTGTGATTCGCAAGCGCCGTTGATCGCCACGGGCGGCTTTTTGTTTGTTTGGTTTTTGGAAGGATAACGGTGGACTCTTGCAGTCCGCAAGAAACCTACCTCATTTTATATGCGTTTAAGTTTGAAATGTGAAGATTACTCTTTAATTTTCTCGTTCCAAGCCTAAAAATCTAATATAATCATGCCTTTAAAGTAAGTTGACTTCAGAAAGGCTAGTAAATTCACATTCTTCTGAATTTCTACCTGAAATATTAAAAGCAAACTTATTTTGCTTGCAGTATGTGTACATAACACATCTTTCTCTCTTTTTGCTGCTTATTAAAAAAAACCCACCAAACAAACGACCTGATTAGAGCTCTGCAGTAAACTTCTATAAATGCCTTTTATCTCTTCCAGAAATAAGCCCGATTATGCGTTTCTTTCGGTAGGAGGTACAGCTTATGCAGCAACTGCATCAAGGACTAGCTTAGCTTAAAAAGCCTAGCCAGAAAGGATTGGGTTTATGCCAGTCGCTCTCCTGTTCTTCCCCGCACCCAGCTGTGGAGGCACCTCTAACCTGAGGGGAGCAGGAGCTGCTTGAGCTGCCATTGGTGCCAGGAGAAATGTACATGTAATCATCCCGAGAGCCGATGTTTGGTTTGTGTACTTCTGTTTGCTTATGTTGCAAGAAATATAAACTGCTTCAAGGAAATTATACATCCCTAACACAAATGACATAATCATTACTACCTTTCATTTCTCTCTTGCTATGAATGTAGAATGAGAAATAAATGTATGTAAGTTGATGTTAAACGTTGGTTGATATTAGCCAATCTGTTTTTGAGAGAGAACATGAAACGTGATGTGTCTAGACCTGTAATGATAGAAATTATCAAGGTGTCAGAATACTCTCTGTACATTTCAGGCATAAGGAAATATAAGCTTGAAAGAACTCTTTTCTTAAATGCTCTTTTGGGAATTGTGTTCTAAAGAACTAATGATATTACTCAAAATACTAGAGAAATCAGTTGGGTTTTTCTCCTGTCTTAAAAATTGAAGCGTTATTCTAACGGCATGAAAAATACAATTTCTAAGGCCTGTAACTAATTTTAATTACTCTTTCTGTTTTCACTAAGAAAAGTTGTGATTTATAAAGGCATGGTTTTAGGCTGCAGCATTTTGTGATACTGTAGTTAGAAAATAATACTTTATTCTGCCAGAAGTCTCTTAACCTTTCTTGCAAACAGTAAGTCATGATAGAGCCTGTCCAAACTTTTCTTCGGGTATTCCTTGATCAGACTTGGAACTAAAAATAAGGAGGCAGTGCTTTTGGAGGGTAGGGTGGAAACCCTTGTAGAGCAAGTTATCTCATTGCACAGGAGTATTGAGAAAAGGGCTTCACATTTAATTTCTTTCACAACCAACTACTTCTGTAACAGTGCTGTAATGTGATAGGGCTGGGTTTTTTTGTATTCCCTCCATTTGTTGAGAATCCACAGGAGCTTACCTTTAGCAAGGGTATTGCTCTGTCGTCCTCTGTGTTTCTATCATGCTTTCTCAGCATTTTGGGGCCAGTTAGACCAAAGGGAATTACTAATGTCGTTCAGCCCAGGCTTACTGGAATCTTGGGGGTAGCTGATGTTCTTGAAGCTTCAGGGCTTCTTATGCTTGTCACTTCGGCAAACCCCCTGCCAGGTGATTTGTACAGCAGTTCAACAAAGGAGTCACTTGTTCTTTCTGTGGGCTGATCGCAAAATACCACTATGTAAATATACAAGAATGTAGAGTGATGAAAGAGTGGCAAATTTTTTGATTTTTCAGTCAAAAAGGGGGGAAAAAATAAGAACCCTTTCTTGAGACATGAAGGTTTGAGTCAAAGGATGAAGTGGAGAAATCATGAGTCCAATGCTGTTTGTCATCTTTTGAGTTTCTTTCCCCTTGAAATTTTTGCAGTTGGTCAAGGGAACAGTCCAACAGATTGACCAGTTAATGGAAGGATACTGTGTTCACTGCAGTAAAAAAGTGAGCAATTGCAGTCTGCTGAAAGAAGTAATTTAGTTTTAATTATATTCTTTCCTGACATTGCCATCAAGGGTTGATCTTTCTGAGTTCAAGTACTTTTCATTTGAAGGAAAAAAATACCGATTGGAGAGAGCAGAAGAAAATAAAAATTGTATGGAGAATCACTGAAAGGCAGTCTCTTACCCCAGAGAACTTGTGGAGATACATCTTCTCATAAAAGAATAGGGTGATAGCTACATGATGAGAATTGCGTGGAGTACTTCTTGTGGAAAATAAAGGTGTGATTTCTGGGGGAGAGAGACATGCTCCCCTTTTTCTGTGTCACACAGTTTGTCCCATGATTCAGCTAATACTGTTTTTCCCTGCCTGTTAGTCTGTTTAGTTTCAGAAGATTCAGCATGCCCTTCTCCCAGTGTTTTTTCTGAAGGCAATGGCATAGATAAGCATCTTGTAAAGCTCTTGTTCTTGCCTTTCTGGGGTTTCTCTTGGAGATGCTAATTTATACATTTTCACTTGTTTGATATGTCAGTCTAACGGACAATGTAAAGGTAAATGCTTTTTTACTTTTTGTGGGAGTCTTGATCTGAGTTTTAAAGAGTAATTTGCAAAGCATTTCAGCAGAAATTACTTGTAAAGCATGTGTGGATTTTGTAAGCAAAGCAAGCAGAAGCTACTGTTTTCACATTGGGAATTGACCTGACCTCTGTAAATTAGGCATGATAATTTTGTAGCTGGCTAAATAGCTTTTTCATAATGAAAAACTACGTTTGTGCAAATGGCACGTGGAGGAGTCCCAACTAATATGTGGGAAACTGCTGAATTTTGCCAGGTAGTGTGGTTTTTTTTTTTTTTTCCTCCTAAATTTTGCAGTCTTCAAATAAACCTAAATATTATTTTGCTCCAAATCTATAAATTGGAGTTGAGACATCTTTGAGCCCTTGAATGCCTTGTGCTACTGCACTGGAGGCATGTGTGTTGCAGAGCTCTGCTTACATATTTAAGTGAATGCAACCCTCAGTTACATCCATCTTGCAAGACTTCATAGTCCATACACTCACGAATCATAGATGTGTCATGACTGCAAGGGAAAGGTCGTGTGTGAGACAACTGTAGTTATCCTGTAGAAGAACCCTGCATTGTATTAAAAGCAGTAGTTCTGAAGCATCTATAAATGCTTGACATCTTTGTGTTCGCCAGGCTCGCACTTCTTGGGACAGGGAGTCAAGTGAAATGCGCTATAAGAGGCTTCAGCATTTATTGGAAAAAAGCAACATCTATTCCAAGTTCTTGTTAACCAAAATGGAACAGCAGCAACTAGAGGTAGGTGTATTCTTGTCTTCAGTGGGGATTCTTAAGATGGGCTGCCATCTGTTTGGTGTTTTTTTTTCCATCCAGTTGTTTCAACTGAAGTAAAAATGCTGTTAAGATTGCAATAACATGAAAATCTACTGGTACTACTGCCCAGGAATGGTGCTTTACATAATATTCAGATTTTTTTCGGTAAATTAATAGATAAATCAGACTGGGAAGAGCATGAATTATAATTTAAAATCACAGTGTAAAGGTGCCACTGATATATTTACAATTCTTCTGTTGGCCTGAGTGCTAGGAAGAGAAAACAAATATTTCAAATAAGAAACAAACTTTAAGGAAGCTAGAAAACCTGGAGGGAGGATAGAAGATGCAAAGAATTGACAAGTAAGTGGTTGTTCAGCCTATTTGTGTTAATTACTGAAGGCCGAGCATGAGTCATGTCTTCAGGATGCTGATGTAGGCCTTCCTCAATCAGATTTATAAATTAGTGATCTGGGGTCATGCTGTTCCAAGCAGTAGCCTCCATAAAATGATGTGATGTTGGGTTTTTTTAATCCATGGGCTGCTGAGTTCATAGCTAGCTTTATCTTTACTTTCTTAATTGTACCTTTATGTACCAGCTTGTAAGAGTTTATGCTTGAGAAGGAGGGAGAATCTTAGGAAAAATTCAGGGCAACGACGTTCTCAGAAAAGCAACACCGACTGATTACAGGAACCTCTTCTCTAAAATATTTTTCTCGTTTAACTGTCAGCTTGAGTTCATGGTTACTGCATTGATAGAATGCATGTGTCAGTACTAAATCTTATTCCATCTGATAAATAACAAGTTCTCTTACCTCTTTCTACGGTCCTTTTGCTTTCAGCAAGTAGAAATAGTAGATGTAATGAAAATCTTAAATTCTTCAAGATGTGAAAGCATTTCGTCAGTAAAGGCATTGTAGGCTACTTACATAACTTTCTGTTCCACAACAAACACAAGTGGTAACCTGTAGAAGTTAAAGGGGAGCTGGATACATGGAAAATGTACTGCAGTAGATGCGATCTTAAGGAGTTTGCAATTGGGAATATTTTTGTTGGAGTCTTTCTAAACTACTGTATTTGAGTGTTTAAAGTATATGCTGACAAGCAGTTCATAGCAGTTGCGTTTTCTTTTCCAAGTTTTGCTTTATCATTTTAAGCTATGTCAGAATAGAGGCTTTTAGTGAGATGTCAAAAACAAAGTCTGTAGACTACCTATGCCTCATTGCTTCTATAAGGTATAGTTCTCTTGTGGGTGTTACTGAAAGATAAGAAATGTGTGTGGGTTTTTATTTTTTTAGGAACAAAGGAGGAAAGAGAAGTTAGAAAAAAAGAGAGAGATATTGTTAAAATCTGCTAAGGTAAGATTAACTAGCTATTTTATGCAACTTTCTATAGAAAGTGCTGACAAATTACAAGTCAGTTTTGATCAGTGTAGATCAACTAAGTAAGTTAGATTAGCCAATATTTGACTTGCAGGATCTGCCTGGTATCTTAATTTTAACCATAGTAAGCCTGTTTAAAAGTGTTTAAAAGTTGCATACGCTGACAGTCATCTTAAGGAGATTTTTCTGACTAATTTATACTAAAGAAAATGGTTTGCATTTGTCTTGAGGAAGTTTTTGTTTTAGCAATGATTATTTATTCAGCCAAGATGCTGAATAAATAATAAAAAGATAAGCAGGAACATTTTTTTTTCCTGTATTTAAAAAAACCCTACTTAATAGCAAAAGTGTTACAGGCTTTCAAAGGCAATGGTTTGAGACTGATTACATCTTTTTATCTGTGTCATGATAGAGATGCATAAGAGGATGAACCTCTTCCTCTGTTTATTTTCTAGGGTCAAAATCTAGTTGATGACAAAGAGGATAAATCAGGTAATGTATTAGGCTTTGCCTTTTGTCAGTACTGGTGGTTTTAGTTTCTTTAATGCTTAATGTGTTGTATAAACTCAAATATTATCTTACAGGTGCAAAAAGGAAGAGAGGGAGAGAAGATGGGATGTACAACATCTCGGAAATTATGTCCAAAGAGGTAGGCCATAACTATAAATAGACTTGTCTGGATTTTTGTAGCACAAATTTTAACTGGTGAGGCAATCACTGTGTGGTATCTGTAATTTAGAGCAATACATTCTTGTACATTGCCATTAGAGATTATCAGCCAACAGTAGTCTGTCTGTAACATTATTTTCTTCCAACAAAGATCTATGTAACAAGCAATGTTGTCAGACCTGTAGAATTCAGATGTGTGGTTTTTTTAAAAAGTCTTTGGAGAGGCAGGCTGTGAAGAGACCATCGCCAGTTGAATTTTCAGTTACCCTTTGTAACTGGAATGCATTTTCTGGTGTGTGGCCTTGTTTAGAGTCCCTTGTATGACTAATGATATTATATGGAAAGCTTTTTAAAGTATGTCCAGGTTCTTCAGTTAAAAAATCTCATGAGATCCAAATTCTAGTAGCCTTTAAGGTTGAAAAGTATATAAACGTATTTTTTTCTTTGTTTCCAGGAAATATTATCAGTGGCAAAAAAAAGTAAACCGGAATATGAGGTATGTTATCACATGTTATTGCAGTTTGTGTTAAGCCCAAAGGGAGGGAGGGCTTTTTATATTTTATAGCATATCTTTAAACTGGACTGGTTTACTTCACTGCAAATTGAGACTGCTGTAAATTGGTCAAAAGTATGTCTTCTCTGGGCTTTGATGTGCATTCCACTTAATCACATGTCCCTTGAACTTTCCTCTATAGGATGAAAGCTCTTCTGGCAACCTGTGTCCAGAAGACCTGCAGAAAATTGGAGACTCAAATAGTGTCATTAAGGATAGATTGTGTCAAGCTGTACGACACGGTGCCAAGCAATTTCTTGATCCAGTACGGAAATTTAATGGACAACCAGTGCCTTTTCAGCAGCCAAAGATTTTTGCTGGAGGTGTAATGAGGTGGTACCAAGTGGAAGGCATGGAGTGGCTGAGGGTGAGTGATTGTTGATGTAATTGAATCTGTTGCTGATTGGAAACAGAGAAATGGAGAGGGAAGAGACACTAGAAGTCTGTGATCATAGTTGGTGCAGGGAAGGTGAAGGAGGGACAGACAGTTCTTTATGATTTCTCATGATAAAAGAATCTGGTGTTCTGAAAAAGTTGTCAAGCAGCAGATACAGTGTTTCAGTGTGGGGAGGATATTTGTGTTTTTAAGTATTTCTTTAGACTTTTTGCTTTGTTCTCCATCTTCCCTTTCTCCATCAATATTCTTGTTCAACTCAACTGTCTTTTCAGCCCCTTTTTACAAATACATTGCGAAAGCAGAAGGACTATGCATATTACCAAGGGACATTCTTACTATCTTTCTCTTAAGGGCTTGAATAACAAACCCATAGGTGTTTAAGGACCCACTACCTTGCAGGGCTGACATGGCTGAGCTTTCCATTCTCTTGGAATCTAACTAGTAATACTAACACAATGGTTTAAAAATGTTTTGTCTTCAGCTTTTGAAATCAAGAACTAAAGAAACGACATAAAAATTGCCCACATATTTGTTTAACTTGTACCCATTTCTGCTTGCAAGCCAGATTAGAAAAACTTTACTTTTTAATTATCAGAGCCAGACAGAACTAATTTTCATTCTGTACTGCTCTCATATTTCCCATAGGTTTTTTTCTTCCCCACAAGCATATATATCTTGTTTTAACAGACTTAGGCTGATCTCATAAGCGAGTGCCACTAAACTCACTCTTTTCTGTCACTGGGAAGTGTGTAGGGAAGACAGGCCTGTTCTGGGAGGAGAAAAAAGTCTTCATTGGGCCCTCAGTTGTAATAACCTTTATAAATCTTTGAGTAGTAGATAGAGTAGCCAAAGAACACTTCTGTGTCTGTCCTTTTGTGAGAGGTTGCTCTGTCACTTGCCAGAATAGGCAGTGTCTGCACAAAAGAATGCTGGCTGGAGCAGCTGGCTGTGTTGGTCAGGAATTGCACCTTTTTGCTATGCTGCAGTAGCGGTGCCTGTAGGAGCTACTTGAACAGATAAAACTGAAACATCAGCACAGTGACTTGGACTTAGAGGAAAGCTAAGGGAATTCTATGGAGCTGGGGTGAGTAAAAACTCAGTATGAGCTGCCCTTGCAGTTGAAGAGTGTTTTGAGGTAACACTAATTTACATTCTTTGATACCGTTCTAGTTTTTGTCTCTTAGTCAAGTGCTGAATTGGCTAGAAGCACATACAGCTACATATGAATGTCTGGGGTTTACTAGATACCTATGTTTATTTTCATAATGGAGAAATCTTACTTGTCTGTAATATAAAATGTGCCTAGTAGAGGGTTCGTACAAGTGTTACATTCTTAAATGTAAAAGAGGTCTGTTGTTCCTAAGGTGTGTTGGATATTTAGCATTTACATTTCTTTTTCTATATATGCAGATGCTTTGGGAAAATGGTATCAATGGCATTTTAGCTGATGAAATGGGGTTGGGGAAGACAATCCAGTGTATTGCGACAATAGCACTGATGGTGGAGCGAGGAGTCCCTGGTCCATTCTTAGTATGTGGTCCTTTGTCTACTCTTCCAAATTGGATGTCTGAATTCAAGAGATTTACTCCAGAGGTAAAAGAAATTAATATTTTTTTTATTTTTCTTCCTTTAAAAGAACAAATTAGTTAATTCTTTGCCTTGAAACTTTCTCTGTATAAAACATTAGTTTAATTGTAGTTGTTTATGTGGTTATTACACACTGTGCCATGACTTGCTATGTATTTACAGCCTTGTAAAAGAGCTAATTAATCTACTATCTTTTATTAATTTAAATGATCTTAGTTCACCTGACTTCCAAACCTCTTTTATTTCAGATTCCACTAATGCTCTATCATGGAGCTCAACAGGAACGTCGTAAACTGGTTCGTAAAATTCAGAGGCGGCAAGGATCATTGCAGATCTATCCTGTGGTCATCACTTCCTTTGAAATAGCAATGCGAGACAGAAATGCCCTGCAGGTATCTAAGTTCTCCTGAAAGCCCTAGGACAGGTGGAATACCTCATCTAATAGCAATGCTGCTGCATATAGTAAAAAAAAAACCAAAAACAAAAAAACAACCCAACCTATGGGCTGCCTATATGAGTGCCATACTGAAGCATTTATATTGGCATTTGCTTCTGTTTCCTTGGTAACAGTGGCTCTGGCATTCTATTCTTAAGAAGTTTCAAACAGAGTGCTGTTAAAGAAATGAAGTAGGCAGATAGTTACAACCTACCTGCTCTTTTCATTATGCAGGTGATGGTGAGGGAGACTTGGAGTAAAAGTGTATAAGTATCGTGGTTAATGTCAGAATGGTTGTTTCAGCAAGATGAGTTTCTTGCAGAAGTTTTACTGTCTTCATCTAAGCTTTCTAAATGCAGTCACTGTGAAGCAGATGTATGGCATATTAACTGTTCGGACTCAGCTCTTCCATTCTGGCAAAGAGAGAAACAACAGTAAATAGAATCTTTGTAATGGGCAGTATCAGACATTGGTTGCTGCTTGTCTCATCTGGCATGTGTTTTGATGGAGTAAAGCTAAGATTTACTGAAGTATCCTTTGTTTTTGTAGCACTGTTTCTGGAAATACCTGATAGTAGATGAAGGTCACAGGATTAAAAATATGAACTGTCGTCTTATCAGAGAACTGAAACAATTTAATGCAGACAATAAACTCTTGTTGACTGGTACTCCCCTGCAAAACAACTTGGCAGAGCTTTGGTCATTGCTTAACTTCCTGTTGCCAGATGTGTTTGATGATCTTAAAAGGTAGGTTGCGATCTGATGGTGAAAACTATTCCCCTTTGTTCTCTTTGGCTGTTATTGTGACTCTTTAATTATTAAACTTGTATCAGCATATGAAGATCGGTTTTGTGGTATGGTTGTAATTTGGTATGATTATTAGGTGGCAAAGGCTTTGAAATATGTCTTTTCTTAACACTTAGTTGTTGCAGAAAGTAAGTAAGAAATTATCAGTTCTATGGATAGTGGAAGCTCAACTCTGAGTGAAGACATGAGCGTTTGGGAGGGGAGATGTTTGTCCTATCATAAGTGCCTGGTGCTGCTTGAGATTCTCTTAAGGTGCTAGAGAAAGCTGCATGAGGCTGGCAGACATGGGACCCATGGGAGACAGATCCTTTTCTGAAACAGTAGAGGGTCGGATGGAAGAATAGTGTTAAAACAGTTCTTAGACTAATTTTGGAAAAAGATACAGGCTAGATTAAATATAATAGATCATAGTGAATATTCTAATACAAGTATTTTTACCAATCACTTTAAACCTCAAGCATCTGAATTTACAGATACATTTCAGAAATACCTCCTGTCACGCTATTCATGATGGATATTAGTGCTTTGTTTTTCATAAATCACAGTAAGAATAATATACTTAAATAACGAACAATAATAGCTATGGAGTAAGCTATTTTGTTGTTGTTTCGTTTTTATAGCTTTGAATCCTGGTTTGATATTACCAGCATTACAGAAACTGCCGAAGATATTGTTGCTAAGGAAAGGGAGCAAAACATCTTGCATATGCTGCATCAGGTTCTCACTTATTCTTTATGTTGGTGTTTCATTGTTTATTTCTAACATTGACTGTTATTATGAAGTGTGTCAAAATCCTGTTTATGGATCTGAGTTCTTTGATGCCTCTGGACTTCCTTAGACTTGTGGGGTGTTTTTTTTCAATCTTTACAGCACTTATAAATGCTGAAAGGGACAGTATACCTCTTTGACTCATTTTTATTCTTGGAACTGAATTGAGTTTGGTCAGACTTAATTGTAGTTGCTTGCTTCTGTTTGCCAAAAGATTTAATTGGTGTATTTGTTTTGTTGAAAGATAACTTTGAGGGAATTTATGTAACCTTTTATGTGTTGAACTGAATATATTTATAAGGTACCTAATAAGCTGTATAATGTACCTGTCTTCAAAACTACACACTCCATTCTAAATTGTATTTTTTTTTTTAAGGGGAGGTGTGGAAATAAATGCTTACCGAGCTATCATTTTCCCATCATAATCTGATGGTGAGAGATGTAAATTGTATCTTCTAGATTATAATTGTTACTGACTATTTTTTACTTTGGTTAAAGGTTTGGGGCCTTCCTGAAATAACTTAAGAAATATAATCAAAACAAGATGTTTCATAATAAAATTACTTTCAGTTAAAAAAAACTATTTGAAAGCTCTGTAATGTAGTTACTACTGCACACTTACAAACACTTCAGAATTTTTCAAATGGCAATGAATGTGGTGTTTGAACACGTGTATTACTAGTATGTGCAGAAAATTTTTGAGTTTTGGAGTAGGGATCCATATTAAAAAATGAAATATGGAACTGCAAATTAACTCCCTTGCTTTAATTGTCAAAATAGCATTATATCAGTAGACTTGTTTGTGTGTTGGTTTTTTTGGGGTTTTTTTAAGTAGCCATGTTGAGAGCTTTGAGTAACACATCTACCCAACATTTCAGATTCTGACACCTTTCTTACTAAGAAGACTGAAGTCTGATGTTGCTCTTGAGGTTCCTCCTAAACGAGAAGTTGTGGTATATGCACCGCTGTCAAAGAAGCAAGAAACTTTCTATACTGCCATTGTAAATCGCACCATTAGGAAACTGCTTGGAAATAATGAGGTACCTATTGATACGGATGTTAGAAATCTGCTTGCTATTAATGGTTTGTGCACAAAACCACATCAGTATTGCTTTATTACCATTGTAGCTAAACCCACTTTTTGCTTAAATATTTAGTCTGATCCTTTTGTTATCTCTTTCAATGGCAGTTACTGTGACTGGCCTCAGTGGGCAAAGAACTAATAATCAAGAACAAAATGAAACTCCTTATTTGTAGCTTGGGGGGGAAAAAGACAGTTTTCATAGAGTTGACAATTTATGCTCTAAAACCAGTAAGGTACTAATGCAGCTTTTAAAAATCAAGCAGAAACTTTCAAAATCTACAATTATAGACCTTTAAAGTTTGGGCTGCATTTGATACATATCACTGAGACCTTTTCAGTATTGAGAATCTTGGGTCAGCCTTTGAATCTGAAGCTATCTGCTGTTGATGGCAATGTTATTTCCCACAGGAAGAAGTAGTTGAGTTGAGTCCTACAGGCCGACCAAAACGCCGTAGTCGAAAACTGGTTAATTATTGTGAAGAACGTAATGGTTCGTCTGATGACTTGGAAAAATTGATCAGCAAAATGCAAGAGGAAGTAGAAAAAGAGAGGTATCTGCCATAAATTTTTTTTTTAAAATTATACTTAATATCTCCCTCTTAGTTTGCTTCCAGAGCTTTCCTTATTCAATGATTGTAGCATTGCTCACTGACTCATTAGAGTTATGGTTAACTACAAGATGTTTACTCCTAGACCTGTGGCCTTTGCAAGATCTAGCAATAAAATTGCTTCTTGAGTCCCTGTTTTCATTAGTCACAGTTGTAGGTAAGTCCTGTGACAATAGTGCTATTGATAATCCCATAAAGAGCTAAAATGTCCTAGTGTGAAATGTAATTCCTTCGGGCTGAAAACGCTTTGGTAGTGAAGAACTGCGGTTTCACCAAAGCCTCATGGTCTGAGATGGTGTTGGGTGCCAGCCAGGGAAGAACTGTTTCATCTTAGTTTTTTGGTAGTTGAAACTTCATTGTAGTGGCTTAGGTCCTGGCTACAGCTAGCAGTGAGGACAGAGCTGAAGAGCTTGGCTTATTGCTAGGTTTTGCAGGCTTTGCAAGCTTAAGGTAAACCTCTTGTCTCCAATGTCCAATTATGTTCACAGGAATATCTTTTCTTTCATTGACTCAAAGACAGGACAAGGGAAGATGCTGGTGTGCTAACTACAGTTAAGTCCTAGGTTTTTGTGGAATTACTCAGGAATACTTGAAGCAAAGTTTGGGCTCAAGACTGGAGAAAAGGGAGGAGTAGTTTCCTTGCTAAATGTTGTAAAATACATAGGCTTATGCTGAGGCCTGGAAGTCAAATGGCCAATACAGTTGTTGCTGTTTTGGTGACAGGTATTAGTCACTTTCTGGTGATTTAATATCAGAGTTAAGGTTTGGGACTGAGGGAGCTGAAGAATCATGTTCATTCCTGGGTTTGGCAAGGTCTCTTGTTGGTGGCTCTAAATTGGTTGAGAGTCCCTTGGGCATAAGGAAAATGAGGTTAATCTTCAGGCTTGAAATGTGTGTGTTGCTAGATTTTTATTGTAGTCCAGTGTACTTTGCAAGAACAGACACTTATATATGTTTGGTTTAGTTTTATGGTAGGCATGGATCCTTTATGTTGGAGATGGTACTTAGGCATTCAGTTCTTCCACATCTGTATTTGTTGTGGATCCTGCAACGTGTGTGTATGTGTGACTGAAATGAGATAGGCAAAGAGCTGATTATGGAATAGCTTATGTATTGCCATAGGAGATCTGACCACTTGTTCGAGAGAGGGCTTGCTTCTGTTCCTTTTTCTGCTGGGTGACTTGCACAAGTTGTTTTTTCTGCTTCTGATTACTACTGATTACTGCCCTGTATTTTAAACTAATGGCAAACCCTTGTGCCTTCAGTGCCAAGTGTGGCACTAAAAGAAGTTTTGTCTGGTGATCGCTTTACTAACTATGAGGGATTTTAAGGATGTTTGACGCAGCATGCAAATCCATTGCTTGATTTTGGTTTTTTTATTATTTTTCTCTTTAGTATCTGTAGCATAATAATGTGACCCTTTCTGTACTAATAAGATGATGTCTATTTTCAGGCCAGTGGTAGATGTGAGCATTCCCATGGATTCTGAGGTGAACCTTAAACTGCAGAATATTATGATGTTACTGAGGAAATGTTGTAATCACCCCTATCTGATTGAATATCCACTGGACCCTGCTACACAACAATTCAAGGTACACATTTTTAAAGGATTGCAAGAAAAATTATTCCAGGCATTTAAAAGCAATATACTGTGAGCTGACGGCAGTAAAGAATGACCTTTTCAATGTATCTGGCATATGTCTCCCTGTTGAATTCCAGCACAGTACTGAATCATTATTTGCAGCTTCTTGCAGCACCAGTTGCAGAGACCAGTTCAGTCTCTGTGCCCATTTAGCCTTTGCATAGTGATGGCGTAGCATTCTTCATTATGTCAGCACTCATCTGCTGGGAGCAAAGTTGCTGAATTCAAACAGTTGCTGAGTTCTGTTGACTCAAGGTGTATTAGGATCTGCCTCAAGCTCTCCTCACAAAGGTTAATTTAAAAAAAAAAAATGCTGACCTTAGTGAACTGTTGATTGTGTAAATTGTACACATGGCAGGAGGTGCAGTGGTGACTTCTAAGGGTGAGTGTTGAAGAGCTGAACCAAGTACAACAGTCTGATCAGAGAATACAGCATACTTTCTCCCCCTCAAAAGGGAAAAACTCCAAATTATATCACAACCTCCAGCTGGTAGTTTAATATACACAAAGCAGTTGGCAATGTAGGAAAGTGTGAAGTAATTTGAATTGAAAGAATCTCGAACAACTGGAAGCTGCTTGCACATGCCATATGTAGTTTTGTAGGCATGTGTAGTCATGTTTCCTGTTCAGTGAATAACAGATTCATCTGCACTCAACAGCAAGCTGCTGAAGTTTATCAGTGTAAAGTCAGTGCATGAAAAGCAGATAGCCCAGTCTGGGTGATGAGGGGAAATTGGTTCATGTGTAGGAAATATAGACTGTTTGACAGCTGACACCACTTGCAAGAGTTAGTACTTGCTCAGGAAAATTAATTAGGAATTATCAAGGTGGTTACTATATGGCTCAGGCCTGAGAAGCTTCTATGTCCCTCCCTGCTCTTAACCTATAGCAAGAATTCTATCTAACAAACTCGAGCAAAAGTGTGGTCTAAGATAGCAGTGTGAAAACTTGTTTGGTGAACTTTTGTCACTTGGCTGATTGTAGTAACTTTTTCAGCAGTGCTGTGTGGTATCCAGTAGGTGGAAGCCTTGTGCATTAATTACAGGCTGGGAAAGTAACGACTGCTTTTCCATGTAAAAAAAATTAAATCATCAGGGTTTCTCCTTCCAGAAATGGGATGAGAACTAATTAGGTGTCTTTAAAATTATTTGAGTGTATAAAATGATGGGGTTTGATTTAGTTTCATCCTTATTTAACTGATTCAGTGTAGTTTGCTAAAATCAGCGTTGTTTCCAATCTTACGGCTTTTGGTTAAGAAGATGGTGCAAGCTTGTTCCTGTGAGAAGCTTTTAGACAGCTTTTGGTGTTTGAGTCAGGGAAACCTTTTGTATCCTTCCCTCCTAATATATGATCCCCTCTCCCCTGTACCAAGGTTGATGAAGATCTAGTAAAAAATTCAGGCAAGTTTCTACTCTTGGACCGAATGCTTCCCGAGCTAAAAAAGAGAGGACATAAGGTAAAGCTATTGATTGGGGATGGGGGCATAGTTGTTTCCTTATAAGCAAAAAATGATATTAAGGAAACTTCCTGGTTTTGTAGGTCTTGTTGTTCTCGCAAATGACCATGATGCTTGACATTTTGATGGATTACTGCTATCTGAGAAACTTCAAATTTAGTCGATTGGATGGCTCTATGTCCTACTCGGAGAGAGAAGAAAATGTAAGTAGATGTACATGTCCTTTGAGCCTGCTTGTTCCTGTGACACTGGAATATGATTTCCCAGAGCATTTTGCCTTTAATAGGCAAGAGACATCTGTGTTGGAAATGGACATCTTTGCCGCTGCTTTAATATCTGCAGCTCATAAAATATTTTGGGGTATACTTAGAATGATGGGTGCTCATGTACTCTGATGAAATATGAAGTATGTATTATATTTAGATTGTGGCAGATGCTAATCCTAGATTTACTCTGCGTGTATGGTTTCCTAGCATCCAGTATATTTTCTACCTCATGGGACACCTGTAACTTCAGATGGATTTGTTCCAGCGCAGTCATTTGTTCTTGCATGTTTGTAATGGTTTCAGGTAACCACAAATGCCTTACTAGTGAGACATACACTTACTATGAAGAGCAGCCATGCAGGGTGGTTCTGGAAAACCACCTCTGAGGGTTTTCAGGGATGTAAGAGCAATGCATATATGGAGGAAGTGCACAGGATATCTAGGCAGTGTGCTGCAATTGCCATCTGGTCTCCAAAGTATGCACTAATGTTTATGAAGATAAGGAAGAACAGTGGCAGATTACACATCATCTCACTCAAATTGTGCTTCCCTTTGCTCCATTTCTTTCAGTGCCACAGTGTGGCTGAGGAAAACCAAACCCCTAAACACTTAGGTTGCTACTGTTAGAGCTGATTCTTAGAGGAAAGGCTAACTAGCAACTTGTCAGCAAACCATAGTGACTTTTATTAAGCTGCTAAAATTTTGTACTGCTATTTTTAAAGGATTTTTAGGAGTTGATTGTATGCCTACCACAGTGTGGTATGGGTGCAGGATGAGAGGAATCTTCCAGGTCACCTAAGTTCAGCAATGCTCTTCCTGGCTCCATGATTTGCTGCTGGTGCTGCAGATGCTTATGTCCAGGAAAGCCCAGAGACTTTTAGGGAGCTTTGGTAGCTGCTTCCACCTGGCAGTGGGGTGATGGTTTCTTTTTCTCTGCTGTGATCAAAGTCCTGAAAAGTACTGTATGCTTTCAGTTTTCTATCAGCAGGTAGGTGGTCAGACCAAGTAAACTAGGTTTTGATTGGTATTGCAGACCTGGTAGGAGCTGTGCTGACTTTTGGAAACATCTTGCACTGAAAGTAGGCTAGATGCTGAAGTAGGAGGCCAGAAAGTTACTCTTAGTTTTGAAGCAAGAGGAGGAGGTATACCGGGCGGCTGGAAGATACAGTCAAGTTGGCATCAGTGTTTTAGATTGCGGCTTCTGTCAATAAGAAGGTATGGGTTTTAGGCTCTGCCAGTTTGGACTGTGCTCACCTTGATCATCGCTGAGGGTAGGTTATATGGACGTGAATGTGATTTGGACCGTATCTCACTATAGTCAGCTCCATTCTCTGTTATACAACTCCTTGACTGGAGTATTCAGATCAGAAAATACAGCTGTTTCACTTCTTGGTCTTGTCCTGTGCCAAATGTATGCAGTGTTTTTTTTAAAGCCTTAGTTTGGCCTCTGACAGCATGTGCTGTATTTTATCTGTGTTCATCTTTTTAAACATGGGTATATCAAAATAAAACATTAGCTATGTTGTATTTGGTCCATCTGCTGTTTTTTAATAGTGAAATTCTTTTTCAGATGCATCAATTTAATACTGACCCTGAAGTCTTCTTGTTCTTAGTGAGCACAAGAGCTGGAGGCTTGGGCATTAACTTAACTGCGGCAGACACAGTTATCATATATGATAGTGACTGGGTATGTTGACAGACCATTAACATAGTGACATGTATCATAAAATGCTCTATTGATGCTTTTGGCAATAATTTACTAACCCATTATGGTATAGACCATTTCTGTAACTTTAATGAGGTGTTAACATAAAGATGATATTAAGTAGTATATGTGTTATATATTGAAATATGCAACCTTGTTTGAAAAGTCCTAGCTTATAGAATACAACATTAAGAGTTCATTCCCAAAACTGACCTGTTTGCCCCTGAGTTACACCAAAAGCAGGAGGGGTTTTTCTGTTACTGTTGAAGATAAGTTTTCTTCTTTCAGTTATTTTAAGTTTGAACACAGATGGACCTTCTACAGGTTCCCTGTTGCCAGCAGCTGTCATTTTAGGGCCAGCTCCTCTAATTTATTTTCTCCTGTGACTTGCCATGTAAGTTTTTAGATAGTTAGGATTCTGCAGCTCTTGTGAGTCTAGAACTGGGAAGAAGCAAGGTATGAAAGGAAATGACTGAGGACCTCTGCATCTTCACTTTATTTTAATAGACAGCTCTGCTCTTTGCATGACTATTCAGCTTCAGGGCAGCTAAGGCAAGTTCAGAAATGTCTGAAAACTTTTTAAATCCTTTTTCTTAACATCCAGAAATAAAAACCCACAAACCTACAACCAACACCCTCAGCTAAATTTGTGATACAAAATATCCATCTGTTGAAAACTGCAGCAGATAGTGCAGAAGCTGGTGCATCTACAACAGCAGAGCTTGTCATGGATGAGTTTAAAGAGATGTAGAGCTATGTTATACTGCGGCTGCCCTGCTTATTGCTTCTATTCTGACTCTTAGAGCTCACTGTTGAAAAATAGTGCCTGTAAAAAAAAAAAAAAAAAAAAAAGGTTAATGGTGGAGCTAACTTGTTTCTTTATCTGCTCAGAATCCCCAGTCAGACTTGCAGGCCCAAGACAGGTGTCACAGAATTGGCCAGACAAAGCCGGTGGTTGTTTATCGTCTTGTGACAGCAAATACTATTGACCAGAAGATTGTGGAGAGAGCTGCTGCCAAAAGGAAGCTGGAGAAGTTGATTATCCACAAAAGTGAGTATCTTTTTCTCATGACTTCCTGTAAGCATGTGTTTCTTCTTTAAATCTCAAGAGAGAACTCTTACTACTGTTTTGTGACTGCTTAGTGTTTTTTCTTAAACACAAAAAGCTTCATCCTCCCAACAAGTGGCTATATAGTAGTACTTTCCAAAATGCATTCTTAGACATGTTGCAGATGACTTCTGCAGCAAATTAAAGGAAAGCACTTCTAGTATTTCTGGAATCACCATGTTACGACTACTCCTTTGCTAGTAGGTAAGGAAAAAAAAAAAGGGTGATGGAACAGTGAACCTACCTGGAAGAAATCTAAGTAAAACCAGGCAATAAGGGAGCAGAACTCTGGGCTTGTTGGCAACTTGTCTGCAAGATGATAGTTTGTTTGACCCAAATGTTTTTGGACTTCTAGCATTGACGTATGTGTTAATTATCTTTTTAAAATCAAATTAAATGAACCAGAATATAAATGGAAAAGCAGATTAAAAAGTTCCTACTGCTTGCAGTTTATAGCAGCTCCTTATTTGGAAGAATATGCCTACCTAAGTGACATCTAGAGCAGCATTTCATGATGTGAGATTTAGCGATAGATGTTTCCAGTTGCACTGGCAATCTTGCTTGAGTAGGGAGTGTTCCTATTAAGATGGGTAAAATGAGTAGAGACTATAGAAAGCTGATTTCTGAGGCATTCCTACTAAACATGGTTGAGATTGCAAAATCTAGAGCTGTAAAATCACTAAAAAATTTCAGCACCCTGTTTGTGTCCTCCTGAGTTTAAGAACAGTAAGTTATAACCACAATGGAATAGTCCTGTTTGAACAATTAACCAGTGTGGAATAGAACAACAGTCCCTGATTTTTTTTGTGCAGAGCAATGGTGATTCTTGCTGTGTTCGTGATTATATAGCTGGTCATACTCAAAAGTCTTTAGAAAGTGATTGGGTTGAAATGTCTCTTTTGGGGGTCAGTTTTTCTTGTTTGGGTCCTGTAGAAATCATGCTTTGCTGCCATAGCTTATTCTGTTTGTGATATTTGGACAGTAGCTTCTTATAGCATTTTCCAAACACTAAGCTCACTTGAAAAATGTAATTTTTGTAACTTGGTATGGGCTTCTGACAATAATTAGCCTTATATTAAACTTTAAAAGAGGTTAAGAACTTCTTGTAGTATACTAAGGGGGGGGGGAAACAAACCAAAAAAAACCCCTGTCCAACTAATGTTGACTCTTTGTAGGCATGCTAATGACCAGTTTAAGTAAGAAAAAAATGTTTTTGTAATAAATCAATTATGGTCCAACCTGAACTTAAAACCGAAGTGGCAAGATGAGCACACAAAACAGAATGGGCTCTAATACTAGATGACTGCCATATACTAAAGTAGCGGTGGGAACTGGGAGTAGTTCCACTGAAAGGAAGACAAGTGTCAGGTTAGGTCATGCCTTCAATTTTGTACTAAGTTCAGTATTTATCTTGGTAACTATTGAGGAATCATATCTAAAACTTGCAGCTTAGGTCGGGGTGTTTCCTTCAGGAACCTTTGGATCCACTGTGTAAATGTAAAGGTGATGTAATGGATCCTGTAATTTCGAATATCTAAAAAAGTGTTGGAACTTTGGAGGAGTGAATGAGGAAGGGTTATCACAAAGCTTACTTGTTAGGTCTTTCGGTGGTGTCTAACCATGCAAAGTGTGTACAGTACAAGTCCTGGAGCTTAAGAACTGGAATTTGTTGCAAAACAGAATGCTTTTTTGGCCTCAGCACCAGGTTACTCTTTCTGTCTTGTGCTCCTGTTTTATTGAAGAAAGTTGCCTAGGTAACTTGCATGAGAACGAGTGTGGTTTTAGTTAAATTAATAGATGTCAGACTAAGAGGAAGTGATGTACATAAACTTGTGTTTAAAAAGTGTTAAGTGCTTGATAGGGTCATGTATTTTCCTCTGTGTCCCTATTGTTTATGCCATATAGTTTGTGAAACTCTAAAGACTAAAAGGGAGAGACTGCATCACTAATCATGCATGACAGGACCTAGATCCTGTGTGTTACAGCAGGAGATATTAATGGGGGAGAGAATCCTATAGCCCAAACCCCTCTGGAACTTGCATCTGACTTGCATTTCACAAAGAAACAGTCCTTGGAGGGAGATGGGAGAAGGTGTAGGGAGGACTTCTGAAACCAAGGTACAGGAAGGAACAGCACTGAATGTGATGAAAAGGACTGATGAAGACCCATTAATAAAATGGGTACATGTGTTGATAAAAACTGAGGAAACTTGGCCCAGAACAGTAAGCCTTGCTGAAATGTGCATTCTGCATTCGCTTTTCAGGAGATACCTTCAATTTCTGTATTATCTCTTATGAGGAGATATCACCAATTTCTGGTTCTCTTTTCCAGAGATACCCCCAATTTCCATATTAACTTTTGTGGAGATATCCCCAGTTTCTGTATTCTCTTTTCAGGAAATACCTTCAATTTCAATTGAGTTTGACAGTTTCGTCAGTGCTAGGATTTAAGTACTAATCTTGTTTTGGGTTGGTTTTTTTTTTCATATTTGTGTGTGGATAGATGTTAGCATAGTCTCTTTAAGAAACCAAATTGTCAGGTATATTACTTTGTCATGTCTGTCTAGTCCATTAAACTGAGGGATGTTCTTTCTGCAAACCACATACCTTTCATGCATTTCCTACCTTGTGGTTAATACTGCTTACTTTGTTTCAACCAGCTTACAATACAAAGGGAACAAACTTCAGCATCCACCATCTAACTTTATTTACAATGTTTTTACTGTAAGTAATGGCTTTTCTGCTTTGTGTGTGCGTGTGTGCATGTTGAATTGGTGTTTCAATCAGTTCTTCTGCATACTACAGCTAGAAGGTGGAAGGCCTGCATGTAAACTTTTCATGTACCATTGACTTTTTCTCACCAGTTAGGCTATTAGTGTATTTAACCTGAGGGCTAAAACAACGAAACACAGCATCAGTTTTGATATGCAAGAGTAATTTGTTCGATATGTGCATCCAACATTGATTGAACAATTTATAGAATTTGTTCTTGTCCCCATGTACTTTCTTAAAATTTCTTCTTTCTACAGATCAGTTTAAAGGTGGCAAATCTGGTCTAGCACAGTCAAAAAGCTGCCTGGACCCTCAGGAATTAATAGAATTACTGAAATCCAGAGACTATGAGAGGTATGTAGATTTCATATTTTTCTTGGACCATGAATTTGTAACTTACAGTGTGCAAGCAGCTGTCTGGTAGCTTTCTTGTCTTATGAAGTGGTATGTGGATCTTCATAGTGGAAAGAATGTCCTAGGGATTCTGCTATGTGGGAAAATTGACTTTTATGCAATACTAACTGTAACATGCTTTTATCTATACTGAGAGATTATTTCTTCCTCAACAGGGAGGTTAAAGGATCTAAAGAAAAAGTAATCAGTGATAAAGATCTAAAGTTACTCTTGGATAGAAGTGATCTTATTGGTAAGTCAGAGTTTTTATCTGTGTTTTTTTTTCTGTTCAGCAGTTAATTCATATTTTGTAAAAGTCTATATGTAAAAAGCTGCCACAACTTCACTTCCCTACAGCTGTTGTACATCTGAAGTACAACCTTTGGCCCCTTTGCTGACATTTCCAATTGGATTTGCTGAAGAAGAAATAACAAAACTTAAAAGTATTCCCAGAAAAACACATTCATTCATAGTGTGCCCTGAGAATGAAAAACAGATTAGGAGGTGCCCTACAAAGCAACTTTTCTTGTAAGTTGCTGAGTTAATCAAAATAGAAATTATTCTCAGGAAATACTTATTTCAGCATACTTGTTAAAAAACTTATTTTGATACCATCATAATTCAAAATCTTAACATTTGGGGGGGGTAAAAATTGAGCTTTTCAGAGGTTGTCAGGCTTGTCAGTGGATCGAACTGTCAGGCTTGTTAGTGGATCAAATTTTTTTAAGAATTTGATTTAAAAAAGAAATTTTTTTTAAGTTGTTTGCAAAGTCTGGTGTCTGATCAGGCCAAGATATAAAAAAACCTTAGCTTTTTTGAGAAAGGAAAAAAATATTTTCCAATTCATTTCAATAGTAGATTTAGTATCCTTTGTTTCCTTCAGCATTTTAGGATGCCTGAAAGCATAGATACAGAAAAGATCAGTCATTACAGAATTTAGACGTAAAAATGATAGCTAGTCTTAAATAAGTGTGATACATATAGTTTGAGTAAAATAAACTTGCCTTAGGAGAACTGTTATACTTCAATTTTTTTTCCCACATTATCTGAAGAAATTGTTTTATAAAACTGCTTATTTCAGTTAACTGACTGCTGATACAGGAAATGATTCTTGATGTATTGATAATATGGTCTATATTGTTACAAGTTCAGGCTGTGAAACAACCTGATTTCTCCTTTCAAGTTGGAACATGCCATTTATTTTGTTCTGTTAGTGTCCATCATTTATAATGGTTGCTTATTTTTTTCCCCATTGGCTATTCTGAGCAAAATTAGTATATTAAAATTGTCAAATGTTTATACAAAGATATTAATCTAGCATTACGCACTGAATATTTACAGCAGCTAACTATAGTTAATGCTTTAGAAACTGAAATGCCACCTCCTGCCCCAGTAAGCCATAATTATTAAATTTGATACAAAGAAAATACTTTTTCATTAACTTTATATTCATTGGAAGGGGCATGTAATGATTACCAGTGCTAGGAAAACAAGATGTAGGTGTTTCAATGTTAGAAAATAATATTGCTTAGCAGAGTCATAACTTTCTATGTTTCTCCTAGTAACTTCACTAAATAGGTTTACTGCATTCCATTTTCTTCTCAGGAAGATGAGACTAGTTCAGGCAGAAACTGCTCATCTCTATTCAAATTAGAATTTTTTGCTTAAAGTACACAACTGAAAAATATTGTTAAGCACAAACTTTTAGTAGCAAACTGTTGATGGAGCAAAATTATTTTATCAACTTGCTTTCCAAATCCAAACAAAAGTAGATACAACTTTTATGTCTGCAATAGTAAGGTTGCAGACACTTAACCTATTATTGTTGATCTTTATTTTGTTTTAATCCTAGATCAAATGAAGACTTCTGAAAAAATGAAAAAGGAAAAAATGGGTGTATTCAAGGTCCTAGAAGAATCTTCAGATTCCAATGCAGAATGTGTGTTTTAATGTGCAAATGTGGCCTATAGACCTACAAGGCAAACATGACTGACATCAGATCTTCCAGAGATGTCACACATACTGATCCTTTATGCTGACTTTCTTTAAGGCCTTGTTCAAATCCATTGTGTTCTTTCAGCGAATGTTAACATGTTCAGCAGGTGATAAGTTTATGTTGTAGCTTTGGTAAAAAACTCTCATAAAGAATTAAGAAAATAAACTTGTTTCACATTTGCAGCTAGCTCTTGTTATTGGTGGTAAAAGTGGCAAATTTGTTGGGGGAAAAAAAAATCATCTTCCTGTGGAAGTCCTAAACCAGCTTTTTTATGATGTCAATTATGGTTTTATTTGGAAGGGAGAGAACATGTCCCTTTGTTACAACCGATTGTGTCTAAGGGCACTGTGAGGGGAAAGTGCAGAATGTTTGTGGGGGTGTTTGGATGACCAGGGAGTACTTTCTGGGAAAGAAGGGTTTGAGACTACACTGGGGCAGAAGAGACAGGTGAAGGATATTTCTGCATATGTAGCTTCCAAGAGCCAGCTCTAAGCAATGGTTTTCAACTCAGGCATCAGGTAACTTTTAAACTTTGAGTTCTGGTTTGTGAATATGCCATCTAGGTGTAAATAGAAGCTGCAGTCACGGAATTGCAGCTGGAGCTGTCAGAGTAGCAATTGTGCTAGTTATAAGGCATAGGTAGCACAGAATAAAATATAATCCTATCTAATCTGTTAGTCACTTTGAAAACTAATTTCCAGTCACTTTATGATCTTTCTTACTCTCCATAGAGAGTAATCCGTTAGTCTGATTTAGAGAAAGTTATTTTATATTAGAGATGTTTATCCTTACCTCTGACGGAACAGGAAAAATAAAAAGCTGATCAGGCTGGCCTTGACCTCTGCCTGTTGAAAGCTCTGTCTTGTTTCTAATTCCTGAAGATAAAAAGGTTTTTTTTTTCTGCTCAGTTACTTATTAGCCTGATAATGGAAAGTTCAATATGTCTTCACATGTTAATTAAATTTGCTGAGCTAAATGCATTGTTTTAAGCTAACAAAGACCTACTACAAAAGATAAGAGTAAGTGATGTATCTACAATAGTATTAAAACTTTTATAGTTAACTCCATTTAGATAATAACTGACATAACTGCTTCCACACAGGCTTATCTAACGTTGGAAGACTAATGTACCCTGTTCAACCTGCACAGCTACTTGAATGTCACTGCAGGGCAATATGGTGGAAAATAAAAAGGAACAAGAGTTTCTGTCCTGTAACCAGCACAGCTAGGATTTAGTAATTGCTGCGTACTTCCTAAAAAAATGCATAAACTAGGATTAACGCTAATGGTGTCATTAGTGAAATATAGTCACTGTTCAGTGATGTGGGGAGCTTGATGTTATTTAGAGAGGCTGCAGTGCTGTGGCCACTTTTCTAGCCCACCTTCAAAAAACAAAAGCATGCATTTTGCTTGCTGCCATCAAGGAGTTTACCTCTGTTCCCTCCTCTTTTTTTTTTTTTTTTTTGGCTCCAGAGTACTGAGAATGTTACTGTTCAAAGCAGGCACAGTACCTTCTTGGCATGACCTTGCATTTCTTTTTCCTGCCGTCAAGAGTAACGTTCATGTTTGCTATGCACCTAAGCTATGAAGGGGCAGTCCCACATATGTGCACTGAATGCCAACAGGCAAAGTCTGGGGCATGCTGTGAGGGGTGCTGGTGTTTCAGAAAGCAGCCTTCCCTCCTGCAGATGGGGGAGATCCACAAGTAAATGCAGTAATGACAGTGGTGACTGGCGCTAACAGTTCTGGGTGAAATAATGTCCCCTTGATTGTCTGTTAGAGAGAAAAAATATTTCAGCTGATACAAGACAGATGCACCCAGATATACTCTGGTGTTTTCCTCTTGGTGGGGGTGCCTGTGCATGTTTGAGTTGAGACCAAATGCATGGACAGAAACATGGGGTCTCAGCTTGCTTGTGTATTGAAACTGTCTGTTGAGTTGCAGGTGGTTTGGGTTTTGATTTTTTAATTTTTTTTTTTTTAATCTGAGAAGCAGCTCATATTAGCCAAGGAGGACTGGGGCAAGACTGCTGGTGATTTTTTCAGGTGATGACAAGAAAATGTGTGGTAAACTTCCATGTTAGAATCTCTTTAATAGTGTTTCACCAGTACTTGAATCTACTCTGGACATACTATCATTTGTGTGTTTTAATTACCTGCCTAGCAAAAAAAGATGTTTGAGCTGCCAAGACCCCACCTTGACAGTGATCAGAGCTCATAGGGTTGCCATTAGCAAATGAAAATTCAATGTGCAAGCTGGAGCAGCTGGCCATGCTGCTCAGTGCTGGTTTGCTGGGGGTGGGGTGGGGGGGTGGGGTGTCAAGTTAATGGTGTGGGATGTGAGAGGTCTGTTTTGATTATGCTGTTAGAAAAGGGTTAGAAACCCCTCAACCTATCTGCTTTATCTCCTGAGGTCTAGCTCTGTCCAGTCACTGCCAGCAGCCAGGTCTTTTTAACTAGTTGGGTTTTTTTAAAAGTGATTTGTGTTCTCAGCTCCCAAGGGAGATGTGCTACTCTGTCTGACGCAAGCCCTCTTCTCTAGCCTGCCTGGCCCATGGTTTATGCGCTGCTTGCAGCTTTTCCAGGCTGTGGCAGAGCTTGGCCCTCTGTGCTATGTGGAGGGGGCTCCCGCAAGGCAACCGGGAGCAGCAGTGCACAGCCACATCTGCTGCACAAGGAGAGAGATGTGACAGGGGGAGCAGAAACCCAAGTAATCTCTGTTAAAAATTGACATTGTGCTTTGTGCACATTTATGTGAGGTAGTCCCTCCGTGGCAGGATGATAGCTTGCTTACAAGCTGCCTGACACTTTAGATTTATGTAGTTTTTATTGTATTATCTTGTATTAATGTTAACTTCTGGAGCAGGCGCCTCAGTGGGGTTGCAGGCATGACCCCATTTAACCATTTTTGTTATTGTGACAAGCTCCAGATGCCAACTGTTAAACTCCAGAGGAATTTGGGAAGTCAGACTACAGTGTGAACACTGCAGTTGCCAAGTATTTTGTCCTACATTATGAAAAATGAATAGATTCCTTTTTACAGAGCGTGATCAAAGTGCTCCTCAAGTAATGAATGTGAATTGCCTCAGCGAGCCTGTTCCCATAGTACTAAATTGGCTCAACACGGGTATCTGTGTTAGAAACCTACACCTCCTGAGCTATTCCACAAACCTTTTGTAGTTCCCGACTCCTG